TTTTCTAAGTATATTCGATATAATTATTCGAATATCAAAATATTACTCCAAGTCTTTCAAAGTTAAATTTCAATCTTACTAAAGTGTAAAGTTGTGTTTTATACTTAAAATAATTTTGAAACAATTTTCACAAAGTATTTCAAACCAAAAACGAGCCAAAAATCAAATTTGTGAAGGGATGCACCGATGTACTCATAGATGCATCGATGCACTCACCATTTCGAATGCATTTTATGCATCGATGCACTTCCATGCATCGATGCACTCGGGTTTTATGAAAACATCGAATGCATTTTATGCATCGATGCACAGACCATGCATCGATGCACTCAGGCTTGTTTGAAACATCGAATGCATTTTATGCATCGATGCACCCTTAGTGAAACGATGCACTAAGTGTTCCAACGATCGAAATATTTGAAATTTACACTTGATGCATTGATGCACCTTGACTATGCATCGATGCACACACGCTCCCAAGTGATTTTATTAATTGTTTTTACACTTAAACGGTTCTATTGACTCCACTAATCATCCCTAACGTTCAGAATCAATTGAAGGAGTATTTAAACAAGCTTTGGAGCCATTGATCAATAACAAGAAACAACAATCAACAAGAATCAAGAGAGAATCAAAGAGAAAGCATCAAACTCATTGTTTGAGCATTTTCAAGCCTATTTTTCATTCAATATTCATTTTGCTTTCAAGAACATTACTTCTACTCAATTGTATTCATTCTTGAGTGTTCCTTCTTTGTTCTAGAGTTATGCAAACACATTTGCCTTGTGAGGTTTTTTCATTAAGTTTGCAAATTTTTAATCTTCTCTTTGAGAAACAGTGTTCTCAAGAATTGGGGTATATTCTTGAGGGAGTTGTAAGGTTATCTCTTTGGCCTCAAAAGAAAGAACAAATTTGTGAATTTGTTGGAAAATCCTTAGTGTGGATAGCTAAGGTAGTGGACGTAGACTTTGGTTGAGAAAGTCGAACCACTCTAAATCGCTGTGAAATTACCTTCAATTTTCTGCAAAAGCTTCCACCAAAATTTTAATTGTCAATTTACCCCCCTTTTGGCCTATTTCATCAATCGATTAACTGAAAAATTGAGTCGATTCACCCCTCTCTTGGTCGATTTCATCGATCGATTAACTCAACACTTTGAGTATCAATACTCGTAGGGGAGTATCGATACTACCCTCTTAGTGTACTGATACCATCCTAGGTATTGTTGCCAAAATTATTTACTATAATTTAAAACTTCATGATATCCTGCCTTTGGTATCAATACCCCCAAGAACTGTATTGATATCCTATGAATAGAGTATCGATACTACTAACCAAAATCCCTTGAATTTGGCCTTCTAGGCGAACAATATGAGTACTATTCATTCGGTACCAATACCCTAAACCTAGAAAACTTTATTTTTTTCTCGAGTAATGCTCTTTCTACCTTCCCAAAGTCTTTTTAAGACTCCCAATTCTTATTTAAATATTTGAGAGTTCAAGGGGATCATAATATGTCATTTTTGAGCATAATAAACATCAAAATACCCCATTTCTCCCATAAATCATAAACAATCTATTTTGCATCCAAACACGCAAACAAGTAAGCAAATCACATCTAACAACCTACGAGTGGTATAAGTGAGTTAGGAGTGTGTTATCTTACTAATAGTTGTTGGGAAAACGTCCAAAAGATCATCCAAGCACCAATTTCTCATTCTTTTTGCTTTTAGAGTTTTCTCTAACTTCCCTCACTAATCAAAAGTAATGAAATAGATTACTAACTTACTTAAGAACTTAAAGAGAGTAGAAGCATGATTTCTAACTCTTAAAAACAGATTTGGAACATCATAGAGTTCTGAAACTGAAATCCTCTCTAAATGCCCACCATGCCATCTATAGCCAAACCTTGAGATTTAAAGCTCAAAAGGAAGCTCTAAGGAGGAAGATGAAGAATCTTACCTTCACAAAATCGGCCTAGACTTGTTGGACAATCAAGTTTATACCTTTGGAAGTCTTACAATGGTGAGAAGAAGGGAGAAAAGGAAAGAGAAATAAGACAAGGTAGAAAAGTCCTTCCCAACATGTGACATAAACATCTTAATGGGAGATCGTCCTTTTTTCAACAATGGATAAATTACTGCCTTGGTCTTTATTTGTTTACCCTCAATTTAAAAATCCCCCTTTTATCATCTTTTGGGCTCAACCCAAGCTCAATTCCATGCCACACTTAATCCAATTGATTCTTAATAGTTTATTATAACACTCTAAGCACAAACGGTTTACCCGAAACTACTAACCCAGATTTCAGGGTGTTACAAGTAGAGTAAATTTCTAAGAACGAGCCTACTTTAGTGTTCTTTTGACATGAAGGAGTAGAACAAATTTTTAAGATCGAGTAAGCTCTAGCATCCCTTTATTATAGAAGAGTAGAGCAAATTTTGAAGGCCTACCAAGCTCTAGTATTCCTTTGTTATGGAGGAGTAGAGCAAATTTCTAAGACCGGTCAAGCTCTACCCTTCATTTGTTATAAAAGAGTAGAGTAAATTTCTAAGACTGATCAAACTATAACGTTCCTTTTATGGAGGAGTACAACAAATTCCTAAGACCAAGAAAACTCTAGTGCTCTTTTACTATGAAGAAGTATATCACATTATTCAAAATTGAAGACATATGGACAAATTTGTTATATTAGGTATTTATGCTATTCTTGTTGCTTAGCGATGGAAAAAAAGGGACAACTATAATTGCAAATTTTTTCTGGACTCAATACCTAGGCCTAGATCCAAAATGATCCAAACCTATTACACAACCCAAAACCTAAAGAAGAAAAAAAAAACTAGTGCTCCCACCATCTCATAAAAAATCTCTTGTTGACTCTTACAAAGTTAAAATTTTTAAACTTTGACGATGATTATTTTAAATATTTTAAATAATTAAATTTTATAAAATATATATTTCAAAATTGATTTAAGGTTTTAAAAATATAATTTTATATTTTTTTATTAATAATAAATTTTAAATAATAATTAGTCAAAGTTTTAAAAAAATTGACCAAAAAAGTCAATAATGAACATATTCCATGGGGAGAGGGACTATATTTAAAAAAAAAACCCCATAGTTCCAAGATGTTGTCGCTATCGCCTTCACACACAATAACCTTCGGTAGTGTCCCTTACAAACAAGGATTTTGTCGCTTCCAATAACACCTAAAAACAAAAAAAAAAACCACCTAAACCTTGAAATCAAATCTTACTAAAAATTAAACTCTCCTAAGATCTCACTACAACTGAACTTTCACTTAATCCCTAAAAATATAGTGTTTTGTTTCTATCAGATTCCCCCCATATGACTCAATTTAAACCCTTCATCACACCAAGAGAAGGATACACACGATTCTTGAAAAAAATCACAAACATACGAATGTAGAGCCTATGAAAATAAAGGAGAGAGTTCTCATTAATCTAAAAAAAATGAACATAATAGCATAAAGAAGAAAAACGAACCTTTAAACTCTGAACAAGCCATCATTCATGAATATTAATAATGCGTGCTTTTGTGCAATATTCCATCTTTTTTAAAATGTATTACATGAAAATTATTTTCATCTTACGAAAATTGAGACAATAGTACTTTGTTATGTTGGCTAAAAGAGATAATATCTTAAGTGGTTGGATAGCGATTTTTTTAATTGATAATATAACAAAGTGACACCATCTTCAAATGATGTGACCTTGTTTTTGAATAAATACAAATATAAATGATCGTTTCAAAACGAGATCCAAAATATTTCTTTAAAAAATACATTCATATGTGAGATTTAAATGAGGGTAAATACGTATTCATAGTTCTTGAAAAATTAGCATCATGTATCTTCTAAATGTACTATTTTCTTGGATGTTGAGGGTTGAACCTATTTTATCCTATTTTAAAGATAGATCTAATTTAAAGATATTCGATCGTACCTAGTCAAAAACAAACAATAACATCTCCCATTTTCAAAACATATATATTTGTCATGAATATTTTCAAATTACCTAAAATAATTTCGAAAATATTTAAATAATTCTCATATATAATTATAGAATTAACTGTATATAAGTAGAATCAACCCCGTTGGTCATTCACCTTCACTTACGCTGTGTAAGTTCAATTGAAAAGATGTGTGGCTTTACGAGTTGCAATCATTAAAAAATAAATTATTGTGTACATATAATGTGTTAAATATGAGGATAAATTACACATTTAGCATCTAAATTACTAGTATTGTTTCATTTTAATACCTAAACATTCATTTGTCTCAAAATTATACCTAATACTTACTTTTTCTTTTATTTTAATACCTCATCGTTAAAAATTTAAAGGCCCTGCATTTTATGGGTAATTTACATAATATGTATTTAACTATCATCTTGCTCCTATTTTGGTTACTAAAGTTTAAAATTTTTTAATTTACTACTCAACTTTCAAATATCTTTTGTTTTAATCACTCTAATTTTTTTATTAATAATTTTTGTGACATAACGTTTTTATTATTATTTTATTATTATATAATTAAAATAAAAAATAAATTTGAAAGTTAAAGTGATTAAATTAGGAGTAATTTGAACGTTAAGTAATTAAATTAAAAACTTTAAACTTTAGTAACCAAAATAGGAGTGAGAAGATAGTTGAGAGATGAATGATGCAATTTACCAATAAAATATACCACATACAACAGTTTCGTTAAATTTTTATCGGTGAAATACCAAATTGAAACCAAAAGTAAATGTTAAGTATAATTTTGAAACAAATAAAAGTTTAAGTGTTAAAAACGAAATAAAATTAATAATTTAGATACTAAATATATAATTTACCCTAAATATAAATACAAGAAAAATACAACAATTCAAGTAAATAACTGATTTAGTAGGTAAAGACGACCACATGAAACAAGGGGACGTGTCGAAACTCAAAACGACACAAGCTCATCACACCTTAGCCGCACAAAGAGGAGAAAAATCATTGAAATCACAAAATCGAAAGGGAAAAAAAAGGGAATATTGAAGGCCCCAAACGCCACAAATTCTTGAAACAGAATGAGAAGACAGAGATATGAGAGCTGCTTCCGTTTCCTCTGCTCTACCCCCCGCTGCTTCCGCCTCCGTCTCCGCCAATTCCCAGCGCAAAATCCACCGCAGCTTCACTTTCAACAATTCTCATCATCACCATCAACACCCCTTTCTGCTCAAAGGTGTTTTCTTTTTTTCACCTTTTATCTGCTTGTTTTCTTTCTTTCCAGTTATCAAAAGCTTATTATTGATGTTAGTTTCGAGGTGTCCTTAATCTAAAATCAACCTTCAACCTAATATAAAAATAATCCTTAGAAAAACTGCACATTACTGCGTCAAGCTCATAATAATCATACCCAATACTCACACTTCTACCGGATCCAATTTCTTGTTCTAAATTATGTATATCATATTTTCCAAGCCTATTTGGAACTTCTAGATATTGATTGTTAGCGGAATAGTTCTAATATTAAGGGACGGAGGTGGGATGGAAGTATGAGGGATAAATTGTTTAATTTTAAATAAATAGGGTCCTAAAATGTAATTAAACCATAAGAATCAAGAGTTAAGGGTTTGATTTCATAAATTTTAAAATCTAAAGGTCTTAAAAGTAATTAAACCATAAAAATTAAGAGATTAAGAATTTGATTTCATTAATTTTAAAAGTCAAAGGTCTTAAAAAGTAATTAAACTAGTAAATTTTGGGGCCAATGATTTATTCCATTAATTTTGAAACTAATAGTGCCCTAAAAAACATTTATGCCAAAAAATTTTGGGAGGGGCAAGAGCTTAATTGTATTAATTTTAAAACTAATAGTGACTTGAAATGTAATTAGACCAACATTCACGAGAAATACTAAAGAAATGACTCTTTTACATTCTTGTCACATGTAAACGTTGTACATTGATGTTTTAACTGCAATTCAAGCTGCTTTTATGTCATAAAAGCTTGACAGGATTGTGTCCGATGTCTTGCAGTTACAAATGAAAGCAGGACCGACTTATCTACTGAACCTAAGGACGAGAGATTGGAAAGCGATAAGATCATTGACGGGATGGACTTCGGTGAGCTTTGCAACGAGTTTGAATGCGTTAGTAGTCCCTTGGTGGAATCTACGGCAAGACAACTCCTACGTGACATTCTAGAGCTACGGGAAGGAAATCGTGCACTAGGGACGTATGCGGTTTCTGTCAAATACAAGGTTTCTTATATGTTCTCCTTGTTGTGTTCGAACATTTTCATTTCACCGAATATTATGACACCATTGTGATGTAGGATCCGATCCGAAGTTTCACAGGTCGTGAGAAGTACAAGAGACTGCCCTGGATAACAGGTGCTCTAACAAATCCCACCGTGGTAAGCTTTTGAAGTTGCCTTTTCCCTCCTCTTATCCTTGTGAATTGTTGTATCAATGTTATGCAAATGTACCATCCATCGGTTTTCTTGTCGATTATACCGATTTTTGTTGGTGGCATTGCTGCAGAGAGTGCAAGAAATGTTGATGTTGTCGACGAGTGTACTCGGTATCAAATGGACGGTACAGGGGAAACCAAAGTCTTTCGTCGCCGGCATAGGTGGTGATCTGATAATGAGAGTTAACTCACGGTTCACTTTGAACCAGATTAGTGGGCAGGTGATTGAGCATGAAGAGGCGTGGGACTTATCATCTTCTTCGGTTGTTACTCAAGCATTTTTCTGGACGTCCCGTCGTCTATTTGCCACCATCGAGGCTGCAAAGGACCTGGCTGATGGAGCCAAGGACTTGTCGTCTCGTTTTTCAACTAAGCAAGAGAACCCGGAGGTTTACCCAGACCCTTCCGGTGATCCAACTAAGGTGAGTCCTTGCAGTAAATACAACCTATACCTTCAAACTTGATTGCTTGTTTTATATTTGAGCACGCAACGAGATGAATGAAATTAAACATGATATGTATATAAGGTCCTTCAAACATGTTCAGTATTGTCTTCCTGAAGAACGTCTCGGATGCCGGAACACATGCTCCGGTGCTCGAGACACTCCTCCGAGAGACGAAATCCTTCTAGAAGGCAATACCGAACATTTATTTATTTGTCTCCTTAACATTATTGCCTGATCGTTCATGTGATGTGTTATCAGTTCTTTCAAAGGGACGATGGATTCCAAAGAGATGTATACCAAATTGCATTGTTTCTGGCAGTCTTCTATTTTGTTGTACAGTTCCTGAGGATAACCCTTTAGAACTTACTATTTTTCCTGCGTCCTTGTTCTGCTTATTACTACTGTAATTAGCTGCCTTTTGTATTGTCATACCATATAGTTTTCAACAGAAAAGAAGTATAGAGATGTAATTCTCTGAATATATATAAAAAATTACATTACAAAATTATTCATATTTGCATATTTCATTGTTCTTAGTTTGTTCGTTGGAATTCACGTCTTTGAAAATGGTTATTGAATGCTTGGGTAATTTTGTTTATTGTGTTCATTACGGACAATTTTGGAAATATAATACCTTTTCTCTATATAATCTCTTATTAGCCAGGACCGTTAACGTGATTAATATTTGTTTATAAGCTTATAAATTGTAGAAACTGAAGCTGGAAAAATGCATCTATATTAATTGCGGGTTAATTTGGGTCTATATAAAAATATATAAATGATGTCATTTTTACCACGTCAATATTTGTATATGTGGCAATGTCGCATCATTTATAGTGTTATATAAGTCTGTCACGTCATCTCAAGTTGTCGACCTTAAGTTGGCTAACGACTTTCATCTAAAAATGATTTTTTGTCAAAATAAAACGTTGAGTGGTAAAATATTCTAAAAAAATTAATACGGACAAATTTTACAATACTGTCAAATGTTAGGGTTATTTTGAGTATTTATTGTTGTATATGAGCACGTGGTTTAAATTTGATAAAAAATAGACTTAAAATAAATCATAAATTGAAGGAATAAGAAGAATATAAAAAATTGAAAGACTAAATTGAAAAAAAATATTATCAAAAAGAGGAATTGAAAGTACACATATATTCTAATATGATTTTGGAGTATGTGACTCAAATTTGATAAAAAACAGACTTAAAATAAATGACGAATTGAAGAAATAAGAAGATTATGAAAAATTGAAGGACTAAATTGAAAAATAAAAAAATTGTTATCTAAAAGAAGAATTGAAAGTACACATGTATTCTACTATGGTTTAAGAGCATATGATTCAAATTTGGTAAAAAAATAGACTTAAAATGAAGGAGAAATTAAAGAAATCATGAATAAAATCATAAAACTGTGAAAATACTTAGTCAAATTTTTTATTTTTCGAGTAACTAAAAAATTCAAAATTTCAACTCGACTAGAACTCGAAAACCGAAATTATAATTCGAGTTGACTCGAATAACTCGACCCGAATACTCGAAATTGAAAAAAAATTGATTTTTTGAATCAAATCGAATTTTACTTACATCGTATACAATAGTTTCCAAAACAAATAAAAATGACGAAAAATAATAATTCAAGCAATATTCAAAGGTTGTTCGCGCAATTAGATTAATCTATATCAAATACAAATTCACTATATATAATTTCGATACTAACAATAATCTAAAGGTCCTTATTATAACGGAAAAGTATGAACTAATTAATGAAATAATTATTATTTTTAGATGTCTCAGATTCGAACATCAATAATTATAGCAGGAGTGATTGAATATTCATTGTCAAATAGTTAGAGTATTTAGAACATATATTACTTTATAATAATCTTAACCTAATTAAGTCCAAAGTTTAAGCAATTGCGTCTGTTAATTTATGTGTGTTATCAATTATTAAGAAAGATTCTAAACATGTACTATCTTATAATCATTTTAGGACTGACTTGCTTATGTTTGTAAACCATTGAACAGCAGAAACTGCAATATTCTTAGCCTGCCAACATGCACTGTTGCCATGTGTGTGGTTATAGAAATTGTTAAGAGTTTGAATTGAATGAATTTGATCTGACTCAAATTGATTGGAAAAAGTATTTTTATTTCTACTTTATGTGGAGATCCGTTCTCGATAGGTCTGTAAATGAATCGAACGAATACACACGAGGGTATGTTCATATTAGTTCATTTAATTTTATTAATCGAACAAACGAACGAAATTCGTGTTCGTTCATTAAAGAATGTACCTTGTTCGTGTTCGTCCATGTTCGTTCGTTAAAATGATAAACGAAAACAAGCGAATGAACATAAAATTAAATTAGGTTTATATTTGAGAAGAATTTTTTCTTTTCAAATAAATTTTAGGGTTAATAATTTTAAATTGATTTAGGTATTTTTTTATTTGAATTTAAAATTAACTTGATTTTAAAACATTAATGTTTTTAATATTAAAATTTATTACATCTTAATATTTTAAACGGGTCTAAAGATTAGAATGAACATAAACAAATATAAATAAATGAACGAATTATTTGTTTGTGTTCGTTCATTTAATTAAACGAAAATAAAATTTCGTTCATGTTCATTCGCTTAATAAATAAATGAATATAAATGAATTTCTTGTTAAACAATTCACCGACGATTCACTAAATATTCGGTTTATTTATAGGCCTAATACTCGAGTCAATACCTGCAAAGAGGACAATTAGGATTTATGCTCATAATTTTAACGACCTGTCAACTCAGTTGGATAGTGGCCGCACAACGTTGGGTTCAAACATAGCTTATAGGAGCACAACACATGACAGATACCGGAAGTAATCACAATAACTTTCAGTGAAAACACATACATCATGGGCAAAACATGCTATTTAGCATGAGTAACTTCAAACAGCAACTTCTGACATATCACCTAATCGGATAAAACATATATCTAATCTTATTGTTTAGGGATGTTCAATCGATCAATTCGATTAACTGACTGAATTACTCAAAAATGTATTAGTATTTTTTTAACTGTTAATCAAATTAATTTTTTTTTTCAAAAATTTGTAAACAAATCGAATAAGGTTCAATTAATTGAATTAACCAAAATTTTCTGTAAAAATTTTTATTTAGATTAATTTGAATTAATTAGAGGTACTTTTTCTTCATTTACGTTAAAATTTGATTAGGTATTGAAAGTTTAATAGGTATAGTTTGATGAAGAAATAGTTGAATCTTAATTTTTTTAAGGGTTTGAGCTTAAAATATATATAAAATATTAAACATTTACTAATTTCGGTTAATTAACCAACTTTGAACCAAATTAATCGATAACCGAACTTTGAAAAAATTTAACTATTAACCGAATTAAAATTAAATTAATCGGTCGATTAATCGAACTAAATTTTAATTCAATCGATTCATTCGTTAAAACTGAACACTAAACACCCCTACCGTTATCTACCGGTAAAATCCACAGGAATCAAAGCACAACATCCCCAAGCAAAATTTATCAACCTTGAACATTATATACATATATGCACATCTAACAGAAAAAGGATGCGATATTACTACTTTGACTCTTATAACACAATGTTTAACTAATTCCACAAATACAGACTGATGAACTTATGATGTGTGAGACAAAAGCTCTATATCCCATATTATCCAATCAAAAATGTATATGTCAACTTTATCATACAGAACTCATCAAATAGTCTTAGTATTAAGGAAATATTATTCTTGTTAAAAATTTTAGATTCAAGGAATTTCGTCTGTAGGATATGTATGCGCGTTGTCAATAAATTAATAAAGTTCTTTCACATATAGCGTCTGATTCCTCTATATTTTCTCAAATCTAATTTCCCCAGCTCCTCAATTTTGAGGATTTATGTAAGGATTTTAAGGGTCGAATTCGGCGATATGGAGGTTGTAGATTCCGATTTTTGTTCGAATCGAAATTGCTAATATTAATTTTTATTTAACTATTTTTTAATTTTAATTTTAATTTTTTTTTGTTTTTAATTTTCTATTTTAATATTTATTTATATAATATTTTTTTTACAAATCCAAAATACAGGCCTACAACCAGGCCAAAACCCAAGCCCAAATCGGGCCCAAGAGCATAACCCAACCCAATACTCAGCCCAATAGAAAAATAATTAGGGTTTGATGAAACCCTAATTACCTATCACCACCACAACCAGTTCACACCTCCCATTCCACCACTGTTCCACCCGTTTGATCTCGTCAGCCGACAGTCGCCATTCCACCACCCGAACATCATCATCTCAGCCAACATTGACAACCAAATCAACAAACCCATTAGAAATTTAAAAAAATCCCAAAATAATTAATTAATAAGAATGTAGGGAAATCATTTCCCTGAATTCTAGCCTCAGACAAGTGCTTAAAACCGAAGAAAGAGATAGAGTTGGAGGGGGGATACAGTTTTTCGAAAGAAAAACACAGAGAGAAACATACCAAAAAGAAAAAAAAAGATCATGAGAAGAGAAGAAGAAAAAACTTGAAAAAGAAAAGAAAGAAAAAGAAAAGAGAGAACACGAAAAAGAGACAAAAATAGATAACGTTACCCTTCGATTTCGTGCATCTTCGTTTCACCGGAGTTGAAAGGAGATTCAAAGCATCAAAAAAGGTAGTTCTTATTAGATTTTCGGTCTTTAAGAAAATGTAAAAGGGATTGACTTTGTGATTTTGGGTGTTCGGTTTGCTTTGGGTTTTGAAGAGAAGAAGTTTACGAGGTCGAGCTAGCGTCGTCGGCCTCTCGTTGGGGTCGCTAGGAGCAACCGGAGAGGGAGCTCACCCCTCCTCTTTCGGTTGAGAGAAATGAAAGAAAAAAAAACGAGAGAGATAAGAGTAGAGAGAGTGAAAACGGCGCTGAAGGGAGGAATGAGAGCTAGGTTACTCTCAAACCCTATAAATGGGTATTTATGCCCCCAAAATGACTTAGTTTTGAGGTGGTTAGGGTTTCATTAGTTTAGCGCATGGGTAAACTACGTAGGGGTCCTTTCATGTTTTAGGGATTTTAATTTGGTCACTGAACAAGGGTTTTCATTTTTATATTTCAAGCTCTTTATTTTACTGGATTTATGTTTTGGTCACTAAATGTATAGGTGATGTTATTTGGGTAAATTACTCGAATGGGTCTTCGAATATGTAAAGTTGTAATTTTAATCCATGATTATATGTTATGAAAGTTTCTAATTTTGCCCCTATATTCAGTGTATGTTACATTTTGGTCCCCATAAGTTGTCCATTTCTGATTGTTTTAATTTTTGGCCTGTAATATTGAATTATTTCATTCTGGTCCCAAACGTAGGGGTTTATTACACTTTCAGTACTTGCAATATTTGGTTATTGTATTATTTACTTT